GGCTGAAATCAACAGAATGTCACCTCTCACTTCCCAGGCAGTATCCTATACAGCCCGAGTGGGCCGAAAGGACATCAATCAGTACAATCCCGAAAGCGTCAAGAGGTACCTTTTCGGTACGCAGGGGATTTTCCTCACCTTAACCCTTTACCGTAGGGCCAATCTGTTTAGGGGTTGCAGGGGCCTTTACAGCCAAGGTGACATGTGGGACTGACTTGGGACCCATCTCAAATAAGGAACCCTGGATATGTGTCAAATTAATCGCCGCTCCCAGTCCCAAGGAGCTGATATAAATCTTTCCCCCAAAGTAAAGGGCATTGGACACATCTAAGAAGGGTTTAGCTTTTCTAGTGTAATTCTCGGACTCAGAACTTTTGGAGAATAAGGCCGTGCAACGGGTCTTAGTGAGTAATCTACTGGTGGAGAGCAAATAGTGCAGGCACTCATCACTCCTATCTCCAAAAGCTGCAGCTCAGCGCACCAGCATTTTCTCAAGGGGCTTGTTCCGTAGTTGCCAACAGTACAAAACAGCTGTTTTGGATTTTAGAGCTTCCGTTTCTTTGAGCAGCATGCCATAGGTTTGTGGAACTGAATGTTCGGGCAATTCGAGAAATAGTCTCTGCTGAGTGCAGTGAATCATGGCCCCTAACTTGCAAAGCGCTTGGCATCCTAATTAACTCACTGGGGATTGTTTGGCAATAACAAAGGTCTTGCGCACACTATAATCCCCAATTTGTATAGGCACGGGATGGGACAGGGGCTCAACCATAGGAATTCCAGCTACTCCTACGGTAGAAATCTTCTTAGGACCACAGGGTAATTCCACAGAGGGGAGGCAAGTCAAACTTATCTCCAAAAGGTCAATCCCCGGGAGACCACTCACACAGATCACTGGAAAATGTAGCAGAGAACCTGCTGTTCGGTTTGTAGCCAAACCTTACCGGCAGGTGATCCTGGAGGGACCAACGGGTCCCCAAGCATCTTTCTTCGTGTTATGATTTACTCAATCTTCTTTATAGTTTTATTCTTCATCTTCACAGGGAACTCTTTTTCCTCGGGCCTCTTGGCTTCCTTTCCTGTTCCGATGCCATCGTTTTAACAATCCCCACTTACCAAGGGATCAAACTCTGAATTGAAATGAATGTTAATACTTTATAGTTATGTATCTTAACTGTATCTATTCCTATGTTCTAATTCACCATTTCCCGAACCGGAGGTCTCTTTATACCTCAGTCCTCGAAGTCTCCTTGACTGTATCTTTTGCCTTAATAGTTCATGTATAATAAACTTGAGGATTTCGCAATGAGTTTCTGTCTTCCACACGTGGTCCTGCCAGTCCCGTCGCATTTCTCCGGTCTCCCAAAGATTGGATCAGGGTGGCTCAATATGGGTCACCGGCCGGGGAAACTCGAATCCCTCGCTCACTTTCCCTTTTATCAATTTGTTCGGATCCCGTTTATATACGCATAAAATACGTGGTCGAATAAACTAAATTAATCACACATCAGAGGTCCAGACTTCGAGGCAAAAAGGTTTTGATTCGTGATATCACGGAGAGTCAACGCTGACAAAAGGTCAGGTCCTGAAGTCTCTCCCAAGCGTAAAAAGAAGCTGAATTTATGTATAGAGTTAGTAAGAACTGCCGATGCTGGAGTCAGAGACAACACAGTGTGGAGCTGGAGGAGCACAGCAGGTCAGGCAGCATCAGAGGAGCAGGAAAGCTGATGTTTTGGGTTGGGACTCAGAAAATTTATATACAAACAAGTTCGCGAGACAGAAATGCAGAAGCTAAACAAACCGCAATTGTACTTTGTTCTAGCAAAACAAGGTCGTTACTTAGGCATAGATAATAGTGTGGAGCTGGAAGAGCACAGCAGGCAACTGGCTATTTTTTAACACCAACAGAATGTGGTGAAGATAAGAATATACAGATTCGGCAAGCTGCAGCTGTTTTGCTATCTATCCTACGTGAATTCTCAGACTAGGAAAAGCAGGATGCAGTTACGGCAATATGCACTATTTCATAAAGCTAAAGTTTCTCTACTTCGTGCTCCTAGTGATGTACTATTTTAACTCATTACTACTCAAGCTAACACAAACAGTCTCAACATACAATTATCCCACACAAGGAATAGGGAACTGAGATAACAAGGTGTAGAGCTGGATGAACACAGCAGGCCAAGCAGCATCAGAGGAGCAGGAAAGCTGACATTTTGGGTTTAGACCCTTCTTCAGAAATGGGGGAGGGGAAGGGGATTCTGAAATAATAGAAGATAGATAAAGGAGAAGATAGGTGGAGAGGAGACAGACAGGTCAAGGAGGTGGGGTTAGAGCCAGTAAAGGTGAGTGTAGGTGGGGAGATAGGGAGGGGATAGATCGGTCCAGGGAGGACGGACAGGTCAAGGAGGCGGGGTGAGGCTAGTAGGTAGGAGATGGAGGTGGGGCTTGAGGAGTGGATAGGTGGGAGGACAGGTTAGGGAGGCAGGGACGAGCTGGGCTGGTTTTCGGATGCGGCCGGGGGAGGGGAGATTTTGAAGCTTGTGAAGTCCACATTGATACCATTGGGCTGCAGGGTTCCCAAGCGAAATATGAGATGCTGTTCCTGCAACCTTCAGAGATTCTCCAGCATCTGCAGTTCCTACTATCTCTGATTCAATTTTAACCCCACCGCGAAGCCTCTTCTAAGGATGCCTAGCCTGAAGAAGTTACCCTCCTCCCTCCGGACAAACCTCAGGGGATCTCTCTCCCACTGCAACTCTTCTATCTGCCTCCCACTCTCTCCCTATTTATTTCAGAACCCCCTTCCCCTCCCCCTTTTCTGATGAAGGGTCTAGGTCCGAAACGTCAGCCTTTCTGCTCCTATGATGCTGCTTGGCCTGCTGTGTTCGTCCAGCCCTGCACCTTGTTGTCTCGGATTCTCCAGCATCTGCAGTTCCTACTTTCTCTGGTCCCCAAGCCTCCGCTTGGTTTCCCCAATGTAGAGGAGGCCACAACGGGAACAGTGGATACAGTGTACCACGTTAGCAGATGTGCAGATGAACATCTGTTTGATGTGGAAGGTCTTCTTAGGGCCTGGGATGAGGGTGAGGGGGGAGGTGTAGGGGCAGGTGTAGCACTTCCTGCAGTTGCAGGGAAAAGTGCCAGGGGTGGTGGGGCTGGTGGGGAGTGTGGAGCGGACGAGGGAATCATGGAGAGACCGATCCATCCAGAAAGCAGATATGGGTGGGGAGGGAAAAATGTCTTTGGTGGTGGGGTCGGATTGCAGATGGCGGAAGTGTCGGAGGATGATGCATTGGATCCGGAGGTTGGTGGGGTGGTACGTGAGGACGAGGGGGATTCTGTTTTGGTTGTTATTGCGGGGAGGGGTGTGAGGGATGAGTTGCGGGAAATGCGGGAGACACGGTCGAGGGCATTCTCGGCCACTGAGGGGGGGAAGTTGCGGTCCTTGAAAAACGAGGACATCTGGGATGTCCGGGAGTGGAATGCCTCATCTCGGGAGCAGATGCAGCGGAGGCGAAGGAATTGGGATAAGGGGATGGCATTTTTGCAGGAAAGTGGGTGGGAGGAGGTGTATTCCAGGTAGCTGTGGGAGTCGGTAGGGTTGAAATGGATATCGGTTTCCAGGTGGAAAGGGAACTGGGCAGGACGCGGGTCGCTCTGACGGGATTGATTCTGACGCCTGTCAGTGGGGAAATGGGCGGATACGTATGGGAGGCCTTGCGTGATTGGCCCAAGCGTCAGGCAGCCGCACGGGATGTGGGTGGGGATTTATGGGAGGCCTAGTGCGATGGGTCCGAACACCAGCCGGTCAGTGAGGGATGTGGGCGGAGTTACATGGGACACCTAGTGCGATTGGTCATGATGACTGCCGGTCAGAATGGTATGGGCGGGGATTTAAGGTCGACCTAGTGCGATTGGTTCTGACGCCTGCTGGTCAGAATGGTATGGGCGGGGATTTGAGGGAGACCTAGTGCGATTGGCCACGACGCCTGCCAGTCATAGGTGTGCGGGCGGTGAATTAAGGGACCGTAGTGCGATTGGTCGTCACGCTTGCCTGTCGGAGATATGCGAGCGGTGAATTTAGCGAGGACTAGTGCGATTGGTTCTCACGCCTGCCGGTTCGAGAGGAATGGGCTGGGGATTTGAGGAGGGCCTAGTGCTATTGGTCTTGACACTTGCCCGTCAACGTAATGTGGGCGGGGAATTAAGGAAGCTTGGTGCGATTGGTTCCGACGCCTGCCTGTCAAGGGATGTGCGTGGTGAATTTAAAGCCACCCTCGTGCGATTGGTCCTTAGGCCTGTCTGTCAGAAAGGTGCACGTGGTGTAGCCAGGGCGCCCTCGTGCGATTGGACCCAGAGACTGTCCATCAGAGCGATGTGGGCGGTGGGTATTGTTGATTGGCTCGCTGCATTGGGGGAGCCGCCAGCTGCCATCATGGGCACCGAGTCTGGTTTGAGGCCGCTGTGTGAGAGCCTGGACCGGCTGTTGCTGCGCTACCTCCGGGATGTGGAGAGTCTGATGGAGCGGCGGGGGCGACTGGAGAAGCGGATGGAGCAGGTGAGGAGAAGACGGAGACCGGTGTGTGTCTGTGTGGAGGGCGCTGGGAAATCCCAACAGAAAGTTCTGGAAAATAAACCCCTCCAGTGGGTCAGGGCAGGCCCTGTGGAGAGAGAGATATAAAAGAAAAATAAACAATCATGAGATTTTTGTTTTCAGATCCAGATGTCTTTCATCAGAAAAACAGCACGAACACTGAATTTGAAGGCCATTCAGCCCCTCTAGCCCGTGCTACCATTCAATAAGATCTGATCCTCCACATTCCTATATTTGCTGTTTCAGTCCAGCAAAAATCTAAATACCTCTGCCTGAAAACCACTTGGTGAACCTGCCTTCTGAGGCAGCCCGGCACAAAATGTGTACAGCGTGGAATCAGATCCGTCGCTCCAATTCATCCATGCCGACCAGATATTCTAAATTAATCTAGTCCCGTTTACCAGCATTTGGCCCATATCCCTCTTAAACCCTTCCTAACCATATGCCCATCCAGATGCCTTTTAAATGTTGTAATTGTACCAGCCTCCACCACCGGGTGCTCTGGTTTTCCTCCCATGGTCAAAAGATATGCAGGTTAGGTGGATTTGCCATGCTTAAGTTGTCCATACTGTTCAGGGATGTGCAGGTTAAGTATGCTAGCCATGGGAAATGCAGAGATAGGTTAGGAAATGGGTCTGGGTGGGATGGCCTTGCAGAAAGTCTGTGTGGATTTGTTGGGCTGAATGGCCTCTTCCCACACTGTGGGCATTCTATGACTTCCTCTGGTAGCTCATTCCATACACACATCACCCTCTGTGTCAAAAAGTTGCCCCTTAATTCCCTTTTAAATCTTTCCCATCTCACCTTAAACCTATGCCCTCTAGTTTTGGACTCACCCCACCCTGAGGAAAAGGCCTTGTCTATTCACCCTATCCGTGCTTCTCATGATTTTATAAACCTCTATAAGGTCACCCCTCAGCCTCCGACATGCCGGGGAAAACAGCCCCAGCCTGTTTAGCCTGTCTGTATAGCTCAAACCCTCCGACCCCAGCAACGTCCTCGTAAATGTTTTCTGAGCCCTTTCAAGTTTCACAACATCCTTCCTATAGCAGGGAGACCAGAATTTCACGCTGTATTCCAATAGTGGCCTAATCAGTGTCCTCCCAACTCCTATGTTCAATGCACTGACCAAAAAGGCAAGCATATCAAACACCTTATTCACTATCCTATTCATTTGCAACTCCACCTTCAAGGAGCTATGACTATGACCTTAAACTGCAACCCCTTAAGTTTTTTTTCTTCAAAAGAAACCATGGACTGGCCATGAGTGAGCATGCCTAATCTTGTTCAGGATCTCGTACGCTTCGGTCATTGCCGTTCTGCATTGATCGCACCTGTAGACCTGTTTGTGATCCAGACCTGTCACAGCCTTGTCCCTGCATTGACGACCTTTGGATGTACGAATTAGGAGCAGAATTAAATGGTTCAACCCTTCCAGCCTGTCCTGCCATTCAGTCCCTGATCTGCTTGGTTTCAAATTCCTCATTCCCCACTAACACCCCCCAACTCACCCAAACCCAATCCTTAATTCCCCTGCCTAACAGAAATCTATCCAGAAACAAAAGCAGAAATTGCTGGAAAAGCTCAGCAGGTCTGGCAGCATCTGCAAAGAGAGATCAGAGTTAATGTTTCGGGTCTGGTAGTCCTTCCTCAGAACTGGGTCAGTCGCAGTTCTGAGGAAGGGTCATTGAACCCAAAATGTTAACTCTGATTTCTCTTTGCAGTTGCTGCCAGACCTGCTGAGCTTTTCTGGCAATGTCTGATTTGCTGCATCTGCAATTCTTTCAGGTTTTTATTTAGTAAGAATCTATCCAGCCTCACTTGGAAAAACGTTTGGTGATCTCCCTCCTCTGCCTGCTGAGACGAAAGTTTCAAAGCAGAAATCCTCTCGTTTCCACCCCAAAAGGGGCAACCCTTCATTTTAAAAGGATCCCCTGGTTCTGGTCTTGCATACAAAAAAAACATTCTTTTCTATGTCCTCCTTGTCAGAACCATTCAGGATCTTTTAAACCCTAGTCAAATCACCCTCACTAAACTCCATAGTTTAAAAAAAAGTTTAAAATCCATCACTGAAAAGGCCCTTTGAGTCTGTGCCAACTTATCTATCCAAATGTGGCGAGTGGTACTCCAGCTGTGGCTTAACCAGAAAGAGTCCTCTACAGCTCCAACGTGACCACTCTACTTTTATAGTCTATGCCACTAAAGGCAAGTCTCTTGCATGCCTATATCATGATCTGTTAACTTGTCCAACTGCTTTCAGGGACCTGTTGGAAAATCATCCCAAAATACCTTTGAGCATCCTAGTCTCCTGAGGATTTCCTTGTCTTGTTGCTTCCTCCGATCTTTCACCTTTCAGACAGCCCATCTGACTGACCTGTCTATGTCTTCCTGTAACCAAAGACCTTCTTCCCCAGTAGTTACCAATTGGCCAATTTTCATGTCATCCACAAACTTAGTTATCATCCTCCCCCTCCAAATCCACTCACATTGTTTCAATGCATCAACAATAAGGTATGACCCTGGCCTCGAGTCACACACAGACCCTTCTATCACCACCTTCTGTCTCCTACTAAGCTAATTTTGGATCCAACTTGTTTTCTGGATCCCATATGCTTTTCCCTCTTTATCAATCTCCCATGTGGGACCTTGTCAAAGGCTTTGCTGAAATCCATTGTAAACAATATCAACTACACTGCCCTCAACCACACACATGGTCACCTTCTTGAAAGATTTCACCTGATTTGTTAGGCATGACCTCCCTCTGACAAAGCCGTGCTGACTGTCCCTGTCAAACCTTACCTCTCAACGTGGAGATTAATTTTCTCCTTCAGAATTTTTTTCCAGTAGTTTCCATACAGTGGAAACAAGCCCAGACTGTATATCCTATCCTTATAAGACAGCTCATTCATTCCAAGTATAAATCCAGTAAACTGCCTCCAACCTGTTTACTTCCTTCCTGAAATAAGGCAACCAAAGATGCCAGGTTAGTTTTTATTTTATATTCACTCGTAGCACATGGACATCACTGGCTGGCTGACTGTTATTGACAGTCTGTAGTTATTAATGTCATAGAGATCTACGGCACAGAAAAAGGCCCTTCGGCCCATAGTATCCATGCTGTCAAAAACAATCGCCTAACTATTGTAATCCCGTTTTCCAGCACTTGTATGCCCTGGCACTGCAAGTGCACATATAAATACCTCTTAAACCTTATGTAGGTTTTTGCCTCTACCACACTTAAAGGTAGTGAATTCCAGATTCCCACTGTCCTCTGGTGAAAACGTATATCGTCACATCTCTAAATCTTCTGCTCCTTACTGTTTCCCCAGGTGTTGGTCTCCCCTTCAAGAGGAGAAGTTTCTTCTTCTCATAATTTTATATATTTTAAATATGTCCTGTCTCACTCTGCTCTGAGGAAAGCAGCCCAAATCTGTTTAATCTGACTTCTTCAGTCAAACTCTCCAGCCCAGTGTAGTTGCTGATGGGAAGATGGGGGTGAGCTGCCTTCTTAAACTGCTGCAGTCCACATGCTGTAGGTGGAACCACAATGCTGTTAGGGAGGGAGTTCTCGGATTTTGAGGAACAATGATATATTTTCAAGTCAGGATAGTGAGTGGCTTAGAGGCAAATTTGCAAGTGATGGTGTTACCATGTATCTGCTTCCCTTGTCTTGGATAGGAGGAGTTGTGTGTTTGGAAGGTGCTTTGGTGAATTTCTACAGCACATCTACAAGATGGTCTGCTACTGAACGCCAATGATGGAGGGATTGGGTATCTGTAGATGTGGTGCAAAACAAGTCTTTGGTGTTGAGCTTCTTGAGTCTTGTTGGAGCAGCTTGTAGATGGTGGACAGGCTTTGGGGAGTTACTCGATGCAGGATTCCTAGCCTCTGACCTGCTCTTGTAACCACAGTAGTTACATGGCTGATATCTCCACTTTCCATACAGCCATAGAGTAACACAGCATGGAAACAGGCCCTTCAGCCCAAACTGGTCTGGGCAGACCACTGGACCATGGTGCCCACTTAATTAGTTCCAATTGCCCGTATTTGTTCCATATCCCTCTAAACCCTTCCCATCCATGTACTTATCCAAATATTTTTTAAATGTTGCTATTGTACCTGCCTGAACCACTTTCTCTGGCAGCCCATTCCATATACTCCCTGAGTGAAGAAGTTGCCTCTCAGGTCCTTCTTAAATCTTGCCTTTCTTACCTTAAACCTATGCCCTCTAGTTTTCAATTCCCCATCCCTGGGAAAAAGACTATATGCATTCATCCTATCTATGCCGCTCATGATTTTATACACCTCAATAAGGTCACCCCTCATTCTCCTACGTTCCAAGGAATAAAGTCCTATCCTGGCCAACTTCTCGCTATAACTCAGGCCTACTGGTCCTGGCAAAAACCTTGAAAATCTTCGTTGCACACTTTCCAGTTTAACTATGTCTTTCCTATAACAAGGTGACGAAAACTGTACACAATACTCCAAATGCGGCCTCATCAACGACTTATACAACTATAACATAACATCCCAACTCGTGTACTCAATGCCTTGACTGATGAAGGCCAGCAAGCTAAATGCCTTCTTCACCACCCTGTCTACTTGTGATGCCGCTTTCAATGAATTATGTACTTGTACTCCTAGGTTCCTCTGTTCCAGTACACTCCTCAGGACCGTATCATTCACTGTATAAGTCCTACCTGGGTTTTACTTTCCAAAGTGCAATGCCTCACACTTATTTGTATTAAATTGCATTTGCCATTCCTCAGCCCACTTTCCCATCTGATCAAGATCCCTCTGTAATTTTTGGTAACCTTCCTCGCTATCAACGATACCTTCCAATTTTGTGTCATCTGCAAGCTTGTTATTCGTGATTTACATAAATACTCTGGATGCGAATGTACAAGGCATGTAAATCATGAATAACAAAGGTCGTAGCACTGACCCCTGTGGCATACCATTAGTCACAGGCGTCCAGTCTGAGAAACAACCTTCAACCATCACCCTCTGATTCCTACCATTGAGCCAATTTTGAATCCAGTTCGCTAGCTCTCCCTGGATTGCATGCAACCTAACCTTCATGACTAGCCTGCTGTGCAGGACCTTGTCAAAGGCCTTACTAAAGTCCATTTAGATAACATCCATTGCCCTACCCTCATCTATTGGCTTGGTTACCTCTTCGAAAAACTCTAAAAGATTTGTCAAACATGACTTCCCGCACACACGTCCATGCTGACTATCCCTAATCAGACCTTGACTATCCAAATGTTGGTTGATCCTGTCTCTCAATATCCTCTCCAATCACTTGCTTAACACTGATGTCAGGCTCACTGACCTGTAGTTCGCTGGTTTGTCTTTGCTACCTTTCTTAAACAGTGGAATAACATTAGCCATCCTCCAGTCTTCTGGACCTTCACCAGTGGCTAAAGATGAAGCAAAAATCTCTGCAAGGGCCTCTGCAATTTCTTCCCCAGCCTCCCACAATGTCCAAGGATGGACTTGACCAGGCCCAGGGGATTTACCTACCTTAATGCGCTTTCATGCTGCAAGCACCTCCTCTCAGGTAATAAGTGTGTGGTCTAAAAATCCCCATTTGTTTCCCTTATTTCCTTAGCATCCATATTCATTAAATATTCATTAAAACTTCCCCCATCTCATGTGGCACCACATATCCATGCTGACTTTTAAGGGGCCCTATTCTCCCCCTAGCTACCCTGTTACACGTAATATAGCTATTTGTTTACACTTTCCCCCTCACCCCCACCCCTTGTCTAGCATATGTGCCAACCTTTTCCTAGCTACAGTCAGTTCCAAAGAATGGTGCTGGACCTGAAATATTAAGAATCATAGAATCTTCACAGTGTGGAAGCAAGCCATTCGGCCCAACGAGTCCACACTGACCCTCCAAAGAGCATCCCACCCCCCTACCCTATCCCTGTAACCCAGCATTTTTTATGGCCAAGTCACCTAACCTGCACATTTTTGGACTGGGAGGAAACCGGAACACCCAGAGGAAATCCACGCAGACATGGAGAGAATGTGCAATCTCTGCACAGACAATTGCCAGATGGTGGAATAACTCTGTTTTCATGCTGCCAGACCTGCTGAGTTTTTCCACCAATTTCTGATTTTGTTTATATGGCTGATCTATGTGAGTTACTGTTATCTCCCAGGATGTTGATAGCGTGTAATGCAGTGATTACAGTAATGCATACACATTGAATGTCCAGGCACAGTGGTTAGATTCTGTCTTGATGGCCATGGTCATTGCCTCACACTGGATACTGTCCAGGTCTCTCTGCATTTAGACATGGACTGCTTCAGTATCTGAGGATTTGCAAATTGTGCTGAACATTGTGCAGTTATCGGTGAACATCCCCACTTCTGATGTTATGATGGAGGGAAGGTCATCGATGAAGCAGCTGAAGATGGTTGGGCCTAGGACACTGCCCTGAGGAACTCCTGCAGAGATATCCTGGAGCTGGAAGTGCAATGACTGTTTTTCTTTCAAGCAGAATGTGGTATTGGTTTATTGCAAGGTCGTGTTTTTGACACAAAGCAAAAGTAGAAAGAAAGCTTTCCTTATCAACTCCATATTGACTGAGGATACCTATCCGTCTGATTAGTGACATCCAATGCTGGCTTTGAAATCACTTGTAACATGATGGTCTGGATCATCATAGAACCTTTCTTTTCCATCAGCAATACGAGTCACTGTGTTGCATTTGCAGTTATGAGTGTTGCCTGTCTCCCATGTTGTTGCAGTGGAAGGCATAACCTTATCAGACATGGATTGATGCCTTTGGGAAGTTTTACAGATTCTTCTAATGGTGAAACCAAGGCCCTCCTACAATCTGCAAAAGTGTATTAGCGCTGGACTGTTAATCCAGAGACATCGCCAAGGCAGATGGTGGAATTTGCATTCAATGAAATATGTGGAATTAAGAATCTAATGATGACCATGAATCCATTGTTGATTGTTGGAAAAACCCATCTGGTTCACTAATGTTCTTTATGGAAGTAAACTGCCATCCTTACCTGGTCTGGCCTACATGTGACTCCAGACCCACAGCAATGTGGTTGACACTGAACTGCCCTCTGGGCAATTAGGGATGGGCAATAAATGCCACCTGGCCGGCAACACCCTCATTCCGTTAATGAAAAAAGAAAAAAAAGTAGACCACTCCTAAGAAAGTGCAAGATGCAGCTATGTCATGCTAGCTTTCTCCAAATTATCTTGTTTTGCTTAGTGCAGCTTTGACTACACGATATTGAGCAGGTTCCCCTGGTTACTGGAGATGAACGGCATTCAGGTGATGATCAGACTTTGGAGCATGCACTGCCATGTTTAGTAACTGTTTTTCCCTGCTTTTTTTTCTATGATTTCTTGCTGTTCTGTTGAGTTGTCCCTAGCTGCAATATGCGGCACAATAATACACGAAGCTGACTTTGTTTAGGCCTGCTTTTATTGGCTTCTTGGACGAAAATTGACCAGCTGTGTGTCCTGAAACAAGACTGTTGGGTTGTTAGTGCTGCCTGAAATTGATACTGCTCCTGACTGACCATTATCTCAAGGCCACCTATATACAAGCTGAGGTCTACAGCTTCAAGTGTGGCTGTATCTGATGCTTCAGCTACTCCATCAATGTGGGGCTCAGTTGTGTGTCTGTAAATCTACCTTTATTACTCATTGATTTGATTATACATTGTTGAAATGAGGCATGATGTTGAAGGTTTTCATCTTGCACTCATCGGAACTGAATGGCAAGAAAATCAGTTTTACAGGCAAAAAGACACCAACTCAGAGGGCAATGGAGACAGCCAAATACCGCTGCATCACCATGGTAGCACCCTGGCCAATCAGTGTTGACTTACCTGGCTTGGCAGTTAACAGTTCTTGCTGCATCTCCATGCCAACCATAGCCCAACTAATCAGCACCCTCTTCTTTGCAAAAATTGTTTTTTACTTTTCAAAGTTGGTTTCCTTGTCTTTGATATCGAAAGAACCGCGGATGCTGTAAGTTCTGAGGAAGGGTCACCGGACCCGAAACGTTAACTCTGGTTTTTTTCTTCACAGATGCTGCTAGACCTGCTGAGCTTTACCAGCAACTTTGTTTTTGTCCTTGTCTTCAAGTCCCAATGTATGCAAGATGAAAAGTTTCATGTCTTATTTTAACTGTAGTTAAAATGCTACCAAATAACAAGTTGATTATAATGGAGGATAGGTGTGTGCTGCTGTGTCTTAGCTGCATTTGCAAGTTCCAGCAGGAGGAAGCAAGATGTCTCGGCAGCTGCAGTGAATGGCTAGAACACATGTTTCTGTGCTTTCATCCTTTTGCCTTAGTCCAAACTGTTTTGCTGCATCACATTCACTGAAAGTACCAAATATTTGAAGGCCACCTTCTGAGCTGATGTAGATTTGACATTTATCCTTCCGACATCGGTCCTGTGGGTGGACGTTTGAGTTTCATCATGAGAAGAGATGGATAGGACATGATCAACAAAGCCCGCTGGATTGACAACACATACACTTCCTCCATCACCAACACTCCATAGCAGCAGTGTGTACCATCTACAAGATGCCTTGCAGGAATTCACCAAGGCTTCTTAGACAGCATCTTCAAAACCCACGACCACTACCATCTAGAAGGACAGGGGCAGAAGATACATGGGAACACCACCCCCTGCAACTTCCCCTTCAAGCCACTCGCCATCCTGGCTTGGAAATATATTGCCATTCCTTTATTGTCACCAGGTCAAAATCTTGGAACTCCCTCTGTAACTTCATGGTGAATCTACCTACAGTACATGGATTGTACTGGTTCAAAAAGGCAGCTCACCACCACCTTCTGAATGGGCAACTAGCAGGGAGCTGTAAATGCTTGGCTTGTCAGCGCTGCCGATGTCCCACAAGTGAATTTAAAAATAAATTATGAATTTCCATTCCTCGACATCCATGTGTCCCGTATCATCTTTGTTCCCACAGGCTTGCATTGTTTCTTCTTTCCCCCAAGGCCTCTGATCTTATTGCTTCTAGCTACTACCCTTGACAGTCTGAATGCCTTGTATAGAACATAGAACATTACAGCGTAGTACAGGCCCTTCGGCCCTCGATGTTGCGCCGACCTTGAAACCAATCTGAAGCCCATCTAACTTAAACTATTCCATTATCATCCATATGTTTATCCAATGACCATTTAAATGCCCTTAAAGTTGGCAAGTCTACTACTTTTGCAGGCAGGGCATTCCACGCCCTTACTACTCTCTGAGTAAAGAACCTACCTCTGACATCTGTCCTACATCTATCACCCCTCAATTTAAAGCTATGTCCCCTCATGCTAGCCACCACCATTCGAGGAAAAAAGCTCCCACTGTCCACCCTATCTAATCCTCTGATCATCTTGTATGTCTCTATTAAGTCACCTCTTAACCTTCTTCTTTCTAACAAAATCAGCCTCAAGTCCCTCAGCCTTTCCTCATAAGACCTTCCCTCCATATCAGGCTTTGCTTACTTCTGACTATATAGCTATAGCTTTAACCTTAACTAGCATCCTTTCAGGGACAAACTGATTGACTTTGCTATGTAGTGTGGTTAACAAGCTCTGCTGGGGTAACTTCAGTTATATTCTTGGCTGGAAGCTATAGCATGATTCCTTTAACTGCTTCAGGAAGCACTAAATAGGATTCTGGTTCCTGCTCTGAAGTCAACACTTCTTTAACATAAGCTGCCCTACTTGGCTTTGTACCATACTCTGAGCTGCCTTCAGCCATTGGGTCAATATCCGAGAGTGTATGTTTTAGGCCCCAACTCAGATTCAGCTGCTAACAAAGTGGCAGTGGGCTGATTGGTGGTGATCTGCTCCAGTTGCTGTACAGTTCTAACCTAAAGACCCTCTTCCCTAGGGCTGGTTCTTGCTCTCCAAAGCTCGCTACTCCATGGGAAACAAATGTGTTTCGTCATTGCAGTATGGACCGCAGATGGAGCCTTTGGCTCAAGTCGACGTGAGGTAGGTGTGGAGGTTTATAATGTGAATAATTGCTGTTGACACTTCTGTCGGGGCAGGGATTTTCAAAAGCAAGAGGCAGTAAGGCCCGCCCCCAACCATCTGTCCCATTTCCTCCGTCTCCGTCGCGTATGTTCAGATGAGGCCCACTTCGACAAGGGAGCCTCTGAAATGTCCACATTCTTCCTCAACCGAGGATTCCCCAGCTCCATTGTCGACAGGGCCCTCAATCGGGTCTGACACATCTCCCGCACTTCTTCCCTCACCCCTTCTCTTCCCTCCTGCAACAGCGATAGGGTTCCCCTTATCCTCACCTACCATCCCACCAGCATCCACATCCAGAAGATCATCAGATGCCATTTCTGCCACCTCCAGCAAGATGCCACCACCAGACACATATTCCCCTCCCCTCCCTTGTCCGCCTTCCGCAGGGACTGTTCCCTCCGGGACACCCTGGTCCATACTTCCTTCACCCCCAACACCTCCCCACAGCCCTACGGCACCTTCCCCAGTAACCGGCGAAGGTGCAACACCTGCCCCTTTAACTCCTTCCTCCCCAGTATCCAAGGGCCCAAACATACCTTCCAGGTGAAGCAACACTTCACGTGCACTTCCAAGAATCTAGTCTACTGCATTCGCTGTTCACAATGTGGTCTCCTCTACATTGGGGAAACGAAGCATAGACTTGGCAACTGCTTCGCAGAACATCTATGTTCTGCTCGCAAAAAAGACCCTGAACTACTGTTTTTGATCTCCCTTGAATTTCCTGACAGTCTGCTTGGGTGTGTCAGTTGCTGATGGATTAGGTTTCCTTTTTGGGGATGTAGTTAGGTCTGCAGCCTATGTCCTTTCTTGTACCAAATTCTATTCACCTGTCTGCCTTGTGCATTCTCACCAACATCAGGTACTGTTGCAGAAACACCTTGATTTTTAAGCCTTTGCCTTGTATCCTCCATGTCCTGTGTTCCTCTCTAACTTTGGAGCCTTGTCTAGCCTTAGGACCCTGTGAAGACTTCTGTTTTCCTCTAATTTATCATAGAATAGAATCCCTCCAGTGTGGAAGCCGGCCATTTGGCCGAGAATCCACACCGGCCCTCCGATGAGTGTCCCACCCAGACGCACGCTGCTATGCTATCCTTGTACCCCTGCTAATCCCATGGCTAATCCCTCTAGCCTGCACATCCCTGGACACTGTGGGCAATTTAGCATGGCTAGTCCAAATAACCTGCATGTCTTGGGACTGTGGGAGGAAACTGGAGCACGGGGAGGATGTGCAAACTCCACAGAGACAGTTGCCCAGGAATGGAATTGAGCCTGGATACCTGGTGCTGTGAGACAGCAGTGATAACGACTGAGCCACCCCAATTCTGTCCTCTCCCGTGCTACTGATATTTATCACTTCATTGTTGGCCAACTGACTAGGCCATAAGTTTGGGAATTCAAACTGCCATCTCTCTCCAACTTGTTTCAGACAAGCCTGATATGTGAAATAAGAAATGATTGTAACTAAAATACAGAAATGTAAATAAAACCATAGAGGCAGGCAGGTTCTGGAACACAAGCCTTGCCAGTTGCCATAGTGGTGTTGGTGCCCATAGACTTGCAGTGTCCAGTGCCTTCACCCATTTCCAGATATCAAAAGTAGTGAATCGAAATGGCTGAAAACACTGAGAATTTGTGAGAATGGGGATCTTGAGGATGCCAAGCTCTGACCATCTACTCAATACTTCTGCCTGGAGATGGGTGCAGATACTTCAGATGTCTTCTTCAGAGCCCTTTCCCACACTCTCAGTGAGAGGACCTCACTCACTGCCCTGTCCCACAACTGGATATGGGGATATTAAGGAAGCCCAGTCTGAGTTTTTGTAGCTTGATTGTCCACCTACATGCACCACCAGATAGAATGCAGTAGAGTGTAGCCTGGTTCATTGATAGGGGGCTGCATAGCCCTGTCTATCAGTTGCTTCACCCACTAAATAGCACAGAAGAAGTATTTTCAAGCCTCACCAGGTTGGCACATCAGTTTTAGGTATCTGTAATGCTGCTCTTGGCATGCTGTCCTGCAGTGAACCCTGACTTGATGGCATTGGCACAATGGGGCACATGCCGAGCTGTAAGGTTACAGCTTGTGGTTGAATACGATTCAGCTGCAACTGGGCTCGTAGCCCACAATGGCTCATCAGTGTCCAGATTTGAGCTGCTGGATGTGTTCAAAATCTGTCTCAGCAAGGAGGGTGGTAGAGCCAGACAAGATACAGGTTTGTGGACTTGGCAGTGAGACTCCCTCACTGTGAATGTTGAGGGACA